CGGCGGCCGCCGCAAGGGTGGTGGTGGTAGCGGTGGCGGCGGCTGCTGTAGCAACCCGGCCTCCACCCTGCCCCTAACATCCTCGGCGCCCATTGGCTTCCCAATACAGTACAGGGCGGGCCGGAGCGGAGGGAGAGCGCGGGGCGGTGCTGCACGCAGTGCGGATGGGCAGGGCGAGGCGAGGCGAGGCTGGATGGAGCCGCTTTCTGGATCTCTTGGTGATGCGCTCGTCTTCCCAAGGCCGGCCTGGGACCCTAGATTGTGTGGATGTACGCCTCCCCGGTTCTTATACTCCTTTCTACGTATCTAGGTTCACGATTCCCCCTTTGCAAACACAGACACGTGTACGTATATGCAGACACGGCAGGTGACAACTGCCTTCCTCTCTGGTAGGCAAGCGTTTTTCCATCACAGTCTAGCTTTCCACATGGAGAGGAGATGATTCACACGGATTCATTCTCAAGGAGGTGTACGTGTGTTAGTTTGTTCCCGCATATATAATAAAAACGAAATTTAAAAAATAACAAAAATGTGGCACCTTGCAGACGAGCAGTTTTACTTAAGTGTCACAGATTTATCGAGGTTCTTCATGATGATAACAGCCCCGTGCTGTTTGTAGCAGCGGTGTAACAAACAGAAATGTAAAATATTTTCTTGGTATGCCCAGTAACAGGTGATGAGAAAAGGTGATTCCTTTTGGGTTAGTATGTGGCACAAAACTGGTAAAGGCACGAGAAGGCTGGGAATACTCTCAACTATGTGGTGGTTAGAATGAAAGGCAGAAATGCAACACTTGTTCTTTCCGCAGAGCTGGTCAAGAGAAAAATCGTCCTTTGTGGCTGGATTTTCCCCTCTCAACCATCTGCCCTTCTCTGAGAAATGTGACATTAGCAAAATGTGACATTTCTTGGAGGGCACTTTGGCATTATATTTCCATATGTACATATAGTCATCATAATTTTGAGAATCTGGAGTTGAAGGGAATTCAAAATTCAAATTCACATAACAAATTTCTTTGGCAAAATTTGCCCTCTGTGTCTTGGATGGGAGATTGGACAGAGAGGGAGGCATTCCAGGACAACCTGGAGAATGCGTCCAGGTTGATGAAGGTCTCCCACAGGAGTCCAGGAGCCCCAGCTTGCATCTTCCTTTCAGTCTGTCTTTTATCCTTCTTCCTTGCTGACCATAGTGTGGCCTGCCCTAGCGTGAAGCACAACACCGCAGGACACAGAGGGAAGGGCCAGGTCATGCCGTGGAAAGCCATGCTCTGCCTGGTGCATATAACAATGAGGAGAATGTGCTGCATTTCTTCCTGCTGCCGTTGAAGGATGGCAGGAGGAAGCACTGGCACAGTTCAATGCCAGGTGGGCCCTCCTGCTTCTTCCTGCACTGAGAAAATTGGGAAACCCTGATTGTCTGACTTTCCATTTGACCAAAGGAACTAAATAGCCTCTGTGATTTTACTGTAAATTGCACAATACAACTGAGGACCAGCCCTACTATTAGCCAAATTGCAACATCCGCCTCAGGCAGCAGGCTTTGGTTGTCATAACAGGCAGTAAATATCAGCTATTGACAGTTTTATCATTTGCTTTGTCACCAATATTCTCTCTAAGCTGTGCGGGTGTGTGACTGCACAGTACTATATTAGTGCTGTGCACCCACTTAGTGCTGCTGCTCATTTGGTGCCGGTCATGGCTGGAACTTTGTGCGCACAGAACAGGGTTTCCACTCAGTGGTGGTGGAAAATTAGAGGGAATGTTGTTTGTCACTATAGTATTTTTAGTGCCAAGATCATGTTTATGAGATTTTTTTTGTCACCTGCCTGGCTTTGTGTACTATGCACCTTTACTGGGGTGGGGTGCTAATAATATGTGTATGAGAGGAAGCAAAGGTTCACATTCAATTCCTGTTCTGATGCAGCCAGTTGCCCATTATTCTGAACATGTGTTTAGATTTCACCCTTTTCATCAAGCTAGGCTAGGATGGCATGCACGCATGCACACACGTATTCCTCTCCCGCTCCAAAAAAGACAAGATCTGTGGTAAAGAGGTGAAAGTCCGGGAGAACGAGAAGCAAAAGCTTTTATATCTCATTCAGTATAAGTATCTGTGGTAAAGAGGTGAAAGTCCGGGAGAACAAGAAGCAGAGCTTTTATATCTCATTCAGTATAAGTACCCAGAGTGCAAAAGCTTGAGAACATCCATTATGCATATGGCCCATTGAAAGCTAAGGAAGCTAAATGTTTAATTCTTGAAAGTACATTTGTTTTTTTCCCCTTTTCATTGCAGTCACACTTTTGTTCTGCCTCTTCCCCCCCCCCCACTTCCTAGTGTGGTCCAGACTTTTGCTTGCAGTTTTTGGCAAGGATACATTTGTGTGTGACAGCAGAAATAGATGTACATGGAAAGACTGCAAATGAGAGGGCAAATGACTGGCACAAAGAAACAGTGACAGTTGCATTGCATGGATTTTGCTTTTGTGGTGTCTCTTTCTGACAGATCTGGTTGTGCATCAAAGCATGAGCCACATGAAGTGATGTATTTTTCCCTTATTCAAAAAAGCCACTAGGCACACACTAGGGTTCAACTTTTCCCTTTTTCTCTAGCATTAGTAAGTGTGCTGTGCTATGTTGCTATTAACAGTAGAAGTCAGCCCTTGCCTGTATAGTTTAGTATTACATACTGGATGATGGATGTCATTATTTTTCCTGTAACAGATTAACACTATGTCCCCTCCCATTTTTTTTCTCACTTTGTTCGTTCTGTTCATTTTTTAGGGATGAAGTTTTGAAATTCTTGCATGTGTCAGAGTAGGAAATAAATTTCCACATGTGGCTGTGGATGCAACGTGTCTTGTCACGTGGAAAGACTTGGTGAGAAAGAATGTACTAAGCAATATAGATTTGGCTTATATACAACACTGCCTTCTGGCTAAGCACCAGCCGCCTCACTACTGTGAGTTCTTGTGGGACACCCCTTCCTCTGATCCAAATTATTGCTCTAATGCTGCCCTTTGCCATGCAGGAGAACATCTAAATGCAACTTCTGCAAAAGCATGTGCTTGACGGCAGGTTCCTACTATGGTAGGAATGTACACATCTCTAAAGGTCAGCCCCTACAAGTAATGGTTACACATATTCACAGACTCTTCTCCAGAAGGCCCTGGGAGCCACCAGCTAGCACAGCTTCTCACTGGCTCTACCAGTAAGACTCACACACCATATTTTGACAGTCATATCTTGCTGGTACATCCATTTGCATGAGACAAGTTTGCACAGTAGGGTGAAGGAATCATAAATGTGCAATTAAGGCTCATCTAGCTGGAAAAGCTAATGTGAATCATAATTTCATGACAATACAGTAGGTTATGAATTTCCCAAGGAAGATGGTGGGAAGCCTCATCTAAGATAAAATCTTAAAGCACATAGAAGAACAACCCTTGCTGAGAGAAAATCAGCATGGCTTCTGTAAGGATAAGTCTTGCCTCACAAACCTTTTAGAATTCTTTGAGAAGGTCAATAGGCATGTGGATGTGGGTGAACCAGTGAATACTGTCTATCTGGATTTTCCGAAGGCATTTGACGTGGTCCCTCACCAAAGGCTGCTGAGAAAACTTCACTGTCAGGGGATAAGAGGGCAGGTTCTCTTATGGACTGAGAATTGGTTGAGAACCAGGAAAGAGAGAGTAGGTGTCAGTGGGCGAGTTTCACAATGGAGAGAGGTGAAAAGCAGTGTGCCCCAGGGATCTAGCTTGGGACTGGTGCTTATCAACCTGTTCGTCAGTGACCTGTGGACAACGATAAGCAGTGAGGTGGCCAAGTTTGCAGATGGCATGAAACTTTTCTGGGTGGTGAAGACCAGAAGGGATTGTGACAAGATCCAGAAGGATCTCTCCAAACTGGGAGAATGGGCAGCAAAATGGCAAATGTGTTTCAATATAAGAAAATGTAAAGTAATGCACATTGGGGCAAAAAAAATAAAAACTTTATTAATCAGCTAAATCAGTTCTGAACTGCCCGTTATGGATCAGGAAAGAGATCTTGGTATGCTGGTGAACAGTTCAATGAAGGTGAAGACCAGAAGGGATTGTGACAAGATCCAGAAGGATCTCTCCAAACTGGGAGAATGGGCAGCAAAATGGCAAATGTGTTTCAATATAAGAAAATGTAAAGTAACGCACATTGGGGCAAAAAAAAAAATCAAAACTTTATTAATCAGCTAAATCAGTTCTGAACTGCCCGTTATGGATCAGGAAAGAGATCTTGGTATGCTGGTGAACAGTTCAGTGAAAGTGTGCAGCGGCAGTGAAGAAGGCCAATTCCATGCTAGGTATCATTAAAAAGAGGATTGAAAATAAAACAGCCAACATATAATGCCATTGAACAAATGCTGGTAAGGCCGCACCTGGAGTATTGCATACAGTTCTGGTCGCCGCACCTCAAAAAAGACATAGTGGAACTGGAAAAGATGCAGAAGAGAGTGACTAAAATGATTACTGGGCTGGGACACCTCCCTTATGAGGAAAAGCTACAGTGTTTGGGGCTCTTTAGAAAAAAGATGCCTGGGGGGGACA